CTGGCTGGGGAATTCTGGGAGTTGAAGTCCACACACCTTAAAGTTCCCAAGGTTGAGAAACTCTGCTCTAGATTCAGTGGCACTGAACTGAGCTTGCCAGAATTTTCACCCATCTCATTGATCTGTTTTGGCCTCTGCTTGGCAAGAAATCACGCCTGGTGTTATTTGTGCCACCCTCCTACAATGATTTGCAGAAAATAATCCATGGGTTGCTTATTTCTGATCCAGATGTCATCAGATGGTTGAAAACATTCTGAGTAACTTTATCAGGAATCTGAAAGAAACATAGTGGCGCAATCTTGGAAAGGTCGGAAAAAAATTGATGGCACAATCTTAGGGGATTGAAGAATTTTGGTGGCATAATTTCATTCAGGGAACTGCAAAAAAGAATCTGTGGTTCACTTATTTCTGATCTAGGTCTGGCCATTATAATATCACCATGGTTGAAAACATTCCAAGTAACAATTAGGGATTCCTCAGTGGGAAGGTCTGCAACCTTGAATATTGTGCTCTGTTTCAAAAGCCCTAACCCTCACTGACTTTCTTTGAGAGATGGTAGGAGAGCTGTGTCAGGCTACGGTGGCAAAAATCAGAAAGACTGTATTAACACCTTTTCCAACTAAAAGGCATGCCTTTTAATAACCTTTTTTAGTCGGAAAAGATTTATTTGAGAAAGAGAGCACCTGATCCTGTGTATTATTATACAGTCAGTAGAAGCCTGGAGATTCACTATTATCTTTTTTCTATATATAATTGTATTAAAAGTTTTAAGAACAATAATAATAACTACAAGAAACTAAATTAGAACAGAAAAAGTAAAAAAGAAACAACAGAAAAAAAAACTAGAAGTGCAGTAAGAAAACAGAAAAGAAAGATTTGTCTGATCATCAAAACCATAAATCACAAGTTTAATTTTATGCAAAATGTCTGTAAGGGGTTTGCACCAATAAATGTAGATATTGTCTTTTCGGAGGTTCACTTATCATCAACGCTAAGTGTATATCTTCTCTCTTGCTAGCATGCAGATTTCCTTCTTGCCCTGCAGATGAATGAAGAGCAGTATCAGAAAGTAAGTAGCTGGGGAGTCAAAAGACATCTGTGACAAATTTTACAGGGTCGCATTTATCAAAAAATGCTGGCGACATCGAGCTGTGATCCATCTAACCCTATGTCAGCAGGTTACCTGGGAAGGAATTGTGCCAAATACGCTGTGCCCCCTGACAGCCAATTGGTAGATCCATTTTTTTTCCCCTTCTGAGTTTTTACAGCTGTTGAAATCTAGTCCTGCTTGAATTGCGTAGGATCGCTGCAACACCTTAATGTTGCTTTGTGGTGCTGTGGATTCAAGGGGGGTAAAGATTCTTCAGAGCATGTGGGCATACAAATGTAACACGTTGGCTACTCCTTGAAGCATCTTTTCTTCAAATCCAGAGCAGCGTACAGCCCTAGCTATTACTATCATTAACAATGTTAACCTGTTCCTGTTCGTGGTTAACTTGGTCCCGTTTCACGTCTTCAGTGTAAACATCTGCCCGTGGTTTATAGTTAAATGCCTCTGTTCTTCAAAAGTGTGTCTGTAAACATTTGTTTCATTTTGCAAAATAGCATTTGAAGCAGGGTAGCCGTTGATAACATTTGAGATGAGGTCACACCAATATTTATTTTTCGGCACGGCTGTATCTTCTTAGGCGGAGCGGATCAGGGATAACAACTCATCTTTTGGATCTGATTTTCAGGACGGCCAGTTGATCGAGTGCCGCTGCTGCTACGGGGAATTTGCGTTTGAAGAGTTGACGCAGTGTGCTGATGGACACTTGTTCTGCAAGGAGTGCTTAATAAAATATGCTCAGGAGGCAGTCTTTGGCTCTGGGAAGGTGAGGACACACAAAGCAGTTGGGACTCTAATTTACATGAAAGGATGCCCCGTGGGCACAGCTTCCCAAACCAACAGGTTTCTCACTCATGCTTTCTGCCTTGTGCTTGTTGTTTGCTTCATTATTTCTTATTCTTGGTTTTTCCACCTCATGGCACTGACTGGGTTCAGATGCTACGCTTAAGTCCTAATGTGGTAGGTTTGATTTGGCTTCACAGGTTGTTTGAACCCAGCCAGTCTTGGCTTATTTAACAAACCATGATGAAGCAAAGCTGTCTCACTGAGATGTGCGAACCTTGGATGTGATTGGATTGCATCCTTATATTGACTTGGTTGGAAACTGGTTGTGTCTTCTTTTGTCTTTTGCAAAAGCTCCTGTGTCTTGGTTTTTTTTAAAGACTGCTGTGCTCTGTCTTATCTTTTATATACAGGTTTCTGGGGATAACTTAAAATGCATCTTTTTCCCTTTCCTCAGCTTCAGTGATTTCTAAGTTTTCTATTGAGAATCCTTTTACTGTTTGTCCATTGCCCATATAGGTAGTCGTTGACTTACGACCACAACTGGGACCAGAAATTCCATCACTAAACGATGCAATCGTTAAGTGAGTCGCACCCAATGTTATGACCTTTTATCGTGCTTGTTAAGTGAATCACCCAGTCATTTAGTGAATCCGGCTTCCCCCATTCACTTTGCACGTTGGAAGCCAGCTGGGAAATGGTGATCATGTGACCCCGGGACACTGCAGCTGTCGTAAATACATGCCAATTGCCAAGTGCCCAAATTTTGATCATGTGATTGGGGACGCTCTGTAAGTGTGAGGACTGGTCATAAGTCACTTTTCTCAGCGCCATTGTAACTTCGAAGAGACATTAAACAAATGTTTGTAAGTTGAGGACTACCTGTATGTTAAGCCTTAAGCCAGTGTTTGCTTTCTAATTCCTTGGACTGACGTTGCCCTGTTCTAATTTTGGAGTGTGTAATGTTTAGTGGTGTTGTTTTTAGACACAATTATCTCAATTCTATAATATGGTGGCCCAGTGGTTAGGAAATTCCTGCCGCTACCTGTGGATAAGGGAGCAGGTCCATGAAGTGTGTATTTCTCCACTCCCCTGTCCTGAAGCTAGAGCCCAAAGGTCAGGCGAGAGAAAAAAGTAGCACATCACAGTTCTGCAGACCAAAATGTGCCAAAGGAATGAACAGACCAGCCAAGCTGGGGGCCTGTAACCTTCATGTCCTCCCCTCCTCCTTCTTCCCTGAACGCAGTCAGAGCTCAGCTGCATGGAAGGAAGCTGCACGTGTTCATTCCCCACCAGTGAACTGGAGAAAGTGCTTCCTGAAAACATCCTCTGTAAATACTACGAGAGAAAAGCCGAGGAGGAGGTGGCGGCTGCCTGCGCAGATGAGCTCGTCAGGTAAAGCTCGCAGCCCAGGCTGAACGGGGTGGGACGTAGGAGCATCGCTCCCTTTCGAGGCTCTCTGCAAGCACACGTGGCAGCCTGTGCTCGTTGATCCCCACCCGTGCAAATGTTGGTAAAGCTTTGTCTGCATAGAGGGATCTGTAAAGCGGGTGTGTGACGCATCTGTTTCTATTTCTGAAGGCCCTTCTTTTCTGCAGCTCATCTGGTCTTTCTGCAGCCCAGGAGCCTCAATGAGCATATTTTTCCTCCCTCCCCTCCCCCCCCAGCATTCCTTTCCATTTCATATTAATTGGCCTTTGCATTGGGCGGGCAGCCGTTTCCAGCAGCCAGTCTTCTCATTTTTAAAAGTATCCTTAGGGAGCATGGGTGTGACCCAGAGAGAGGAGGAGGAGGAGGCTAAAAGTCTCTGGGCCTTTGTAGGTTTTGAAGGGCTGTTGGGGGAGGCAGCTGAGTGCCTTCAACCTTGCAGAAGCTTAACATGGATTTTACAGGTATTTTGTCCCCATTTTGCTAAAAAACACATCACGGTGGTTTTGCTGCACTCTGGGACTGCTCTGAGGGCCACAGAAAGCCCCAGGTTGTGTGATGTGCTAAACTAGCACATCCTAGTTTAACATCATGAACTCTGGAGGGGCTTTGGAGGAAAGATCTGGGTAGGACAAGCCAAACCAGATGATCCAGTCGGAAGAAGAAGAAAGCCCAAGGTTTAGGAAAGGACGAGAGAGTTCTGCTGCACGTGGGTGGCTATTTATTAAAACACCACTGTAAGCCCAGGGCTCCAGGGATGAATGGCAGTCCCCTAAAGTTCATCTTCCAAGAATGACAAATCCGTGCATCCATTGCTCTCTGGATAATGACGAATGGCATCTATGGAGTCCAGTGGAACTGGAAAAAAGCATTCTTCTGCTCGGTCAATTCCGTTTGCATGTTACTGAGAAGGAAGGCTGCAGTGGATATTCCCTCTGCATTTCAGTTGCCATCATCGCCACACCTTGCTTGATAAGCTTTCCCTTGAAAGCCCTCACTCTGTCTCCCCTTGGTTTGTAGATGTCCCTTTTGTAACTTCCCGGCTCTCCTGGACAAGGATGTGAAGCGGTTCAGTTGTCCTAACCCTTGTTGCAGGAAGGTAGGCTATGTCTGTTTATTAAAATGATTAACCGGTCACCTAGCAAAGCGCGGCACGATTGAAGGGGAAGGTTCTTGCTGTTTGTCTCACTGTTCTTAGTCGGGGCTAGAGATTCCAGAAGGGAGTTTAAGCTACAGGGCATTCAGCTCTCTTTGCAGTTGGCAGAAGGGGTGTGACTCTCGACCTTGACGAAAGGAGGGAAGGGAACATCTGGAGTGGGATTTGTGTCTTTTGATACAGCCAAGTGCAAATAAAGACCAGCCAAGCAGTGGTTGAACATTTGGATGTCGTTAAACTGTTTTGCAGAAATAGTTCTGAGATCACACTCTAGCAGTCAGTCGGTGTGCTGTATAGCGCGCGCAGCCACATTCCCATGACTTAGAGGCAACACTTGGTGCTTTGATTTGTAGGCTCACATGGGATGCTTTTTAATGTTGTTGTTTTTTCAAAAACATGAGAAGAAAAACAGAAAAGAAAGAGGAAAAAAGGAAAGATGTAGAAGCATTGTGAGGCTAAATAAAAATTTCAGAGCAATGTCGGATTCATATGGGGCACCGCTCCAAGCATCTTCTCTCAATGTGGAACTTCAGAACATGATTAAAATCAAATTGATCAGCCATATTAAACAGCAGGGGTTAGTATAGGAATTATAAACCCAAATGAGAAATTACAAAAGCATTTCTGCATATTTAAAAAAATCAGTTGGAGTCTGGGCACACCTTTTCCAACTAGTTAATTTTATGAAATGGCATTAGCTGCAAGAATGTATGCCTTTTAATGCCATTCATTAGTCGGAAGAGGTGTGCCGGACTCCGACTGATTTTTTTGCTGCTGTAGACTTAACACAGCTTTCCTCCTACAATGTGGGATCTAAGATTCCTATGCTTATTGAGCAGAGCTTATTATCAAAGTTTTTCTGTAATAAAACCTTACTTTGAAAGATCTAAACTTGGAATTCTGTGGAAGTTTCTACTCTTCCGTCGACGGCCTCAGAGAGCGTCGAAGGATTGTTTGCTGACTCAGGGGTAGGTGTTATTTTTAGGTCTGGAAAAGGGTCTGCTCAGTGAAAGCTTTTTGCATTCAACAGGGCTGTCTCATCGGTTGGAAAGTGGGGAGGGACGTGAAGTCCTCTTAGGGTTGAAAGCCGCTAGATGGCACCCTTGGTTAATCCACGGTCAGGATGAATTCTGTGCAGTCTCCTCCTTTAAAAATGAAATAAACCGTATGACACCAGCACTGTAAAGCCTCTTGTTTAGTTATCTGTCATATGGTATAATTCCACCCTTCCCCTGAGGAGTTCTTCTGTTTCATCCAGAGAAAACAAGTTTACCAAAAAGCCTTCAGGATTTGAACCCGCCTCTCTCTGATTTGAGTCTAAGGCAGACAATCAGGCTATTTTATTTCAGACTCTGAAGGCAGAGGAAGACCATTGAACGACTGGGTGGTGCAATCAACAGTAATGTGTTTAACTGATAAGTGTTTGCTGTCTGGGTCTCAGCTTCTGGAATGTCCCCGGACGTATCTGTTGTCTTAAGAGGGATTCTGATTTTAATAATGTTTTGAGGGTCTTGAAGGCTACATTCAAGTATCTACTGAGCTGAATCACTACCACTCAGTTATTCTGGTTCAGATCCAACATAAATCATAGTTTAGTGCCCGTTTCCATGTTAAATGACCCGTGGCTTGTTTTGGCATCTGACAAACTGTGGCTATCTTAAACAAGGACTTTCAAAACCGGATTGAGGCTGTTGGCTTTTGACTCTGAATTACTTCAACTATATTTTATTCTAACCAATGTTCACAATTTGGATGCAATTAAAGTTCCTAGTATTCATACCAAGAAGGCAGCTGTTCTCAGCCTGGCAGTCACAGAGATGGGGGGAAGGCGTACACGAATCTCAGATTTCTCTCTTGAGAACCCCTCTCTTTCCAGTTTGGGCAGTCTTCATTCTTCTGCATAACACTTAAAAGTAAAGCCCCGTAACAATGACTTGCTTCTGAGCGAACATATGTTGAATCTGCCCTATTATTTGTTAATCAAGGTATGTTTTCTGATGTAAGCGGTCTCAGATTCTAGAAGAGTGTAGGGTGTTTGGGGGGAAAAAGTTTCTCCATTCAGAAATTTCCTGGAACCCCAGATTGCAGCTGTAAAAGACATTGTTGTCAGTGTCAGTTGAGGTACAACAGATTAATCAAGAATTATGAAAAGTTGCTATGTAGAGGTGTAGCATTCAGGGATGATGAGGCTCTTATCACGGGCTTCCTGAAGAAATTTGGAGCTGTGGCCCACAGCCATGGACCATCCTTCCCCACTTAATGAGTAGCAAATGCTCCTTGGACGTTGCGAGCTGAGCCCTGAGGTATCTTTATGATTAAAGAAGGGTTATCAGTCTGAAGCTAATTTCACTGTGTCTGAAAGATACATTGCCAAGTCTTCCATTAGAAGTCCCATTAATTGCTCTCCCTGTAGTATCCAGGGAAAGGGTAATTCATCAAACACAAACGTTCACGCTTGCTCTGAAAAGTCAGCCGTTTAATGGGCAGCTCGTACACGAATGACTTTTTGGAGTTGAAAGCATTAGCTCATGCCAAGCTGTGTGTCCTTCAAGCGCATTTTCTTGCCTTGCGTCAATAATGTTAATGGGTATGGCTGAATACTAAGCCACCTTGGGAGCAGCCGTGAAGCTCTGAGAAGAGCCTGCTGGAATGAGAAGTTGCTTTCAAAGAATTTGCCAAACAGGAATGGTGCTAGATTAACCTTCTTCAACTTTGCAACTTCCAGAAATAGTATTTGTACTATTCCCATAATTCTAAAGACTAGGCTGGTATTTTGGAATAATGTGTGGCAATAATCACACAGCTAGAGAGGGAAAGGGCTATACTGTACTCAGATGTGCAAATACATGTCATCCCAAAGTATCGGGTGTGGCTCGAGATCACCCTTGCAGCAAATTACAGCTTTTAAATGTGATAGAAGACTCATGAAAGACATTACCCAAGAGTAATATTGAGTATGTCTGAGTATCCATGAATTTCCATGAAAGGGGATCAGAATTCACCCTTGTCATGGCCCCGTCTATAGACTTTCAGAGGGTGTCATTCAAAGGCCAATGTATGGTTCTTCTCCCAGAAAAACCTTACCCTGCTCTAGTTAGCCCAGATGGCTTGCTGTCCTTGGCCTGTGAGATAGGGAAATGGCATTGTGTTCCTTAATTCCCTGCACTTGGAAAGATCAATAGTGGATAGGCCACCCCTTGTCTTCTTAACCATCTTAACTAAATAGTATATTCATAGGTGCCCAAAGGGCTTTCTTTACTGACTTGGCCCAGTTGTCTCCTGGGTTCTCCTACTACAATGATGCTTACCATTTAGTATCAGGTGCTGAGGATAAACATAGCATGAAATGTCTTGCTCTTAATCCCAGCCATTAAACTTGCAGCAGGGCCACCTAGGTTTCTGCTTCCAGACAAAGACCTTTGGGTCAGTAGATCTTACTTCCCAGGGAATTCTTGTCCTCCTCTTGTCCTCTTCTCCTTCTTTGAAAGCTGTAGTAAATTAGACAGCCCCTTTCTTTTCCTTCTTAGGGTGAGTGGATGCTGGCAGTAATCATCTCTGCAATCCCCCTTCCTGGGTGACATCAGATGTGATTGCCATGTCCTGGTCAAGCATGTGGGTTTTCATCTCTCTCAGCCAATGATGTAACTTGCTGACAACTGCAGTTTCGGTGCCAGTATGTGTATAATATGGGCCGAAAAATCCTTTCTCTTTTGCAATCTCAGCACAAGGCACTGCAGTGTTTCCACTGAGCTGGAAGACCAGAAGGTGAGGGATACTGTTGCCATGGTGATAATTCATCTATGAAAGAGAGCTAGCACATCATCCCTTTGTGCGACTGGGGAAGGAGGCTGGGCAGAAGCATAGAATACTGGAAGTTGGACTCTTTATTTCTTCTAACCCCCTTTCACCTTGTATGGCAGCCAAACAGAATCCATTCATTTCCATTAGATATATGTGGAGTTGACCATCGGTTCTTTAGTGCTGGGGGGAACATGCCTGCAACCTGCTGAGTGTCAAAATGCTGGCGTTTCTTCCCTGTTGCTCCCCGCCCACCCAAAAAAGTGATGGTCAAGTTGAGTTACAAACAGCCGTATCCTACTTATTTTCTAGACCAGTCCCCGTGCTATTTTTTCCCTTGTTACACACACTCGAGATAGCCCTCCACAATCAAAGAGACTAATTGCCATCCTCGTTATAATTAAGCCTCAATTATCTTGTTACGGAGCTGCATGGCTAACGTACTAGATGAAGCTAGATGCAGCAAAACTCACATGGCCAGAAACCTTGCTTTATTGGTTCAGAAAGCTTGGTTGAGCAGCACAGCTTGAACGTTTTGACCAAAAGCGTGCATCCTTTTCATTCAGTACTGCAGTATCTGTCTCTGTGGCCTTGGGCATTTTCCATTTAGTTGAAGGTGTCAGGGTTTAAAAGTGAGACCTTCGGTATGCAAAGTTGATTGATTTACCTTGGTGTGCAGCAGCTCTGGACCTTTGCCTCTTCCTACAAGTCTAAATACAGCCCATGTTTTCTCTGCAAACAGTGTCGAGCAGAAGTTAAGCACTAGATTTTTTTTTTCCAGAGCCAGAGAAGGTTTCTCGATGCTTTTTTGTGGTATAAAACTTTTCTTGTACTGGAAAAGCCATCTAGTCAGTGGCGTGTGTGTGTGTGTGTGTGTGTGTGTGTGTGTGTGTGTGTTCAAACTCGGCCCCCTCCTTCAGATTTCCAGCACGCGGATAACTGCTTAATTTTGGTGTTGCAGTTTCTCTTCCAGCCACTGAGCCACCTGACTTTCGCTCTTCCTTTCTCTGTAGCAGCACATTTTTAAGCACCCCTTTGACATGATGCAGCCCCATGCCTGAAACTCGTGGTGACAGAGCGGAGTGCATGGCATAAACTGAAACAGAAGCACGCTTTCCGGTTGGTGCTCCGTGGGCTGGCCCGGC